AACCTGGACTAAACCTGGACTAAACCTGGACTAAACCTGGACTAAACCAGGATTAAACCAGGATTAAACCAGGACTAAAAGCCAGGATCAAAAACAAGGACTAAACCACGAATAAAGATAAACGGTAAATCATAACTAAAACCAGAACCAGATTAAGACTAAACCTGGACTAAACCTGGACTAAACCTGGACTAAACCTGGACTAAACCCGGGCTAAACTCGGGCTAAACTCGGGCTAAACCCGGACTAAACCCGGACTAAACCCGGGCTAAACCCGGGCTAAACCTGGACTAAACCCGGGCTAAACCCGGGCTAAACCCGGGCTAAACCTGGACTAAACCTGGGCTAAACCTGGACTAAACCCGGGCTAAACCTGGACTAAACCTGGACTAAACCTGGACTAAACCTGGACTAAACCTGGACTGAACCCAGGACTAAAGTTAATCCATAAACCAGGACCATAAACCAGGACCAAAGACCAGAACCAAAGACCAGGACCAAAGACCAGGTGTAAAGATAAACCCTAAACCAGGGCTAAACCAGGACTAAAGTTATACCAGAAAGCAGGACTAAAATGGGACTAAACTAGGACTAAACCAGGGCTAAACCCGGAACTAAAGATAAACCATAAACCAGGTCTAAACCAGGTCTAAACCAGGTCTAAACCAGGCCTAAACCAGGACTAAACAGGACTAAACATAAACCCTAAACCAGGTCTAAACCAGGTCTAAACCAGGACTAAACCAGGACTAAACCAGGTCTAAACCAGGTCTAAACCAGGTCTAAACCAGGTCTAAACCAGGTCTAAACCAGGTCTAAACCAGGTCTAAACCAGGTCTAAACCAGGTCTAAACCAGGTCTAAACCAGGTCTAAACCAGGTCTAAACCAGGTCTAAACCAGGTCTAAACCAGGTCTAAACCAGGTCTAAACCAGGTCTATATTATGATCACAGTTGAGTGTGCGGTGACGGACCTGACCCACTGACCTCCTCGTTTGACTCCGCCCTCTCTGTACTTTTCCTTTTGTACCTTTTGTGACAAAGACAAATCTGAATCTAGGCCTGTGGAGCGGTGCATCGTGGGAAATGTATTCTTTCTGTTCTTTCTTTCCACGCTCATTCACAAAAACCTGGCTCAGTTTGCAGGTCACATGTCCAACCTGACTCATCAATAAAAACTGGAAAACCCCTTTGAGATCCGACATCAGACCTGTTTTATTTATTTATTTATTTTTTTTAACACCGTCTCCCGTTACGATACGACAAAAGTACTCCACCTGCTCATCTCCGATTACTCCGCTCGGAAAATTCCACAGTAGGGCATTAACGTAATCGCTTTTGTCCATTTAGACGTGTTTTATTGTGAAAAATAAACTGAAAAAACCTGCATTCTTACTGTTACTGGGGTCAGAATGTTGCACAGTATGGCTTTAAATTAATCTGTTTCCGTGGAGACGAGCCTGCGGTGCGTCCAGGTCAAAGCTACAGGTCAGATCTGTGGAGAGGCGAGCTCACTGACAGTAAAACAGATGTAGTAAGTGAATAACTGTAGCTTAGATGAGTTTAAAGCCACACTCTGGAAGCTTTGAGGTAAAGTGATAATATCTCCATGGAAACAAGCTTGTGGCAGACCCAGGACTAAACCCAGGACTAAACCAGGACTAAAAACAAGGACTAAATCCACAACTGAAGCTAAACCATAAATCATGACTAAAACCAGGACCAAACTAGGACTAAATGAGGACCAAAAGCCAGGACTAAAGATAAACACTAAACCAGGACCAACAGCAGGACTAAACCAGGACTAAACCAGGTCTAAATTTAAACCTTATAGCAGGACTAAACCTAACCTAAACCAGGACTAAACCAGGACCAAAAACAAGGACTAAACCTGAACCGAAAAGCTTAACTAAACCAGGACTAAACCCAGGACTAAACCAGGGTTAAACAAGACTAAAGATAAACCATAAACCAGGACTAAACCAGGACCAAACTAGGGCTAAACCAGGAATAAACCAGGGCTAAACAGGACCAAACTAGGACTAAACCCAGGACTAAACCAGGGTTAAACAAGACTAAAGATAAACCATAAACCAGGACTAAACCAGGACCAAATAGGACCAAACTAGGACTAAACCAGGGCTAAACCTAGGACTAAACCAGGACTAAACCAGGGTTAAACAAGACTAAAGATAAACCATAAACCAGGCCTAAACCAGGACCAAATAGGACCAAACTAGGACTAAACCCAGGACTAAAGATAAACCCTAAATCATGATTAAACCCAGGACTAAACCAGGGCTAAACCCAGGGCTAAACCAGGGCTAAACCAGGGTTAAACAAGACTAAAGATAAACCATAAACTAGGGCTAAACCAGGACTAAAGCCAGGACTAAACTAAGACCAAAAAGCAGAACTAAATTGGGGCCAAACCAGCACTAAACTTAAACCCTAAACCAGGACTAAACAGGGTTAAAGCAGGGCTAAAACCTGGGACAAACTAGCACTAAACCAGGACCAAAAAGCAGGACTCAACCAGGACTCAACTGGGACCCAACCAGGACTAAACCAGGACTAAAGTTAAACCCTAAACTAGGACTAAACCAGGCTAAATTTAGTTTAGTTTGCGCAGGAGCTGTTATTATTATGATGATGGACCACCTCCTCGAAAAGTTCCACAGTGCACCTTTAAAGTCTCTCATTACGGCTCCACTTTCTGACGCGACAGTCAAAAAATAATATAACTTTTTTTTTTTTTTTCCTGACACAGACGACGCTGAACTTTGTGCCAGTTTTTGTGCCATGTGGATGTTTTAGTTTCTGTAATTCCAGAGAAATGAATCATAAACTCAACAAATCTATAATCTCGTCTCGATCTTGACTCGTCCCCCTGCTGGTGAAACGCCGTAACTGCAGAAAAGTGAAAATCATCGTGACTCGTTTGTTTTGTTTTTTTTGTCTCTGCCGGTAAATCCTGAATATCCACCGACTGAATGAACGAACGGTAAAAAGAGCATTGTTCGTTTTAAAAAGCGTCTCGCCCGACTCGTTCTGTGGTATTAGGTGTTTTTAAAGTCGGACAAGATCAAATAAAAGCGGATTTGTCGCGTTACTGACGGAGACTTTTTGTGAATTATTAAAAACGTGAAACAGACGAGAGGAACGGGGAAGTAAAATGAAAATATCTGATCAATATTTATGTAAAAGGTGCAACCGTGATATTGTGGCGCTTGAGACTCTTTGTCTGGTGTGTTCTAAAGTAGGACTAAACCAGGACTAAACCAGGACTAAACCAGGACTAAACCAGGACTAAAGCAGGATGAAAGCAGGACAAAACTAGGACTAAACCAGGACTAAACCCAGGACTAAACCAGGACTAAACCAAGACTAAACCCAAGACTTAACCAGGACCAAAAAGCAGGACTAAACCCAAGACTAAACCCAGGACCAAAAAAGCAGGACTAAACCCAAGACTAAACCAAGACTTAACCCAGGACCAAAAAGCAGGACTAAAACAGGACTGAAACCTAAGACTAAACCTAAGACTAAACCTAAGACTAAACCTAAGACTAAACCTAAGACTAAACCTAAGACTAAACCTAAGACTAAACCTAGACTCAACTAGGACTCAACCAGGACTCAACCCAGGACTAAACCCAGGACTAAAACCCAGGACTAAACCAGAACTAAACCCAGGACTAAACCCAAGACTAAACCCAAGACTAAACCAGGACTGAAACTAGGACGAAATCAGGACTAAATCAGGACTAAAGCAGGATGAAAGCAGGACTAAACCAAGACTGGACCAGGACTGAACCAAAACCAAAAAGCTGGACTAAACCCAGGACTAAACCCAAGACTTAACCCAGGACCAAAAAGCAGGACTAAACCCAGGACTAAACCCAAGACTAAACCCAAGACTAAACCAAGACTTAACCCAGGACCAAAAAGCAGGACTAAAACAGGACTGAAACCCAAGACTAAACCCAAGACTAAACCCAAGACTAAACCCAAGACTAAACCCAAGACTAAACCCAAGACTAAACCCAAGACTAAACCCAAGACTAAACCAAGACTTAACCCAGGACCAAAAAGCAGGACTAAAACAGGACTGAAACCCAGGACTAAACCCAAGACTAAACCCAAGACTAAACCCAAGACTAAACCCAAGACTAAACCCAAGACTAAACCCAAGACTAAACCAGGACTGAAACTAGGACGAAATCAGGACTAAACCAGGACTAAAGCAGGATGAAAGCAGGACTAAACCAAGACTGGACCAGGACTGAACCAAAACCAAAAAAAAGCTGGACTAAACCAGGACTAAACCCAGGACCAAAAAAGCAGGACCAAAAAGCAGGACTAAACCCAAGACTAAACCAAGACTTAACCCAGGACCAAAAAGCAGGACTAAAACAGGACTGAAACCCAGGACTAAACCCAGGACTAAACCCAGGACTGAAACCCAGGACTAAACCAGGACTAAACCAGGACTAAATCAGGACTAAATCAGGACTAAATCAGGACTAAATCAGGACTAAACCAGGACTAAACCAAGACTGGACCAGGACTGAACCAAAACCAAAAAGCTGGACTAAACCCAGGACTAAACCCAGGACTAAACCCAGGACTAAACCCAGGACTAAAACCCAGGACTAAACCCAGGACTAAACCAGGACTAAACCAGGACCAAAAAGCAGGACCAAAAAACCACCTCGATCTGAATAAATACAAGATAGATGAGTTTAATGCCACACTGTGAAACCTTTCACGCGATGCAATAATATCTCCATGGAAACAAGCCAGAAAAGTTACACAGTGCACCTCACGTGTTGTAACTCCATCTAAATCATTTCTTTATATTTTATTTTTATGTTGAAATAAACTCAGATTAGAGTGTAACAAAGCCTCAGACGGACCAGTGCCTCCAGTTAGCGTCTGCACCGTGTCATTTGAGATGTTTGCCCCTGGTTGACGGTGTTCTCCCGGTGTCGCCCGCAGGTCCTCCGTGCTGCTCCTGGCCCCGCTCCTGGCCGAGGCCGACCCCGCCCCCCGCCGCGCGCCCCGGTCCCAGGGCTCGGCCGGGGCCCAGGGCTCCAGCGAGGGCCCCTGTCCGCACTTCACGTGGATGTCCCAGCACGTGCCCGCCTTCAGAGTACCAGGCACACACATACACATACTCACCTCCCCGGACCAGTTCTACCAGACCATGAAGGTGGGTGGGACTCCAGCGCCAAACCTGTAATTGTACTAATTGTAGTAACTGTAGTAACTGTAGTAACTGTAGTAACTGTAGTACTCTTGAAGGGCCTGTACTTGTGTCAAAGGTCCTATATTACGCAAAACTGACTCTTGTGAGCGTTTAGTCGTGTTATAATGTTGTTACCTCATCAAAAACAGACCTGGAGTTGTGTTTTGTTTCATTCATGTTTGAGTACCGTATTTTTCAGACTATAAGGTGCACTTAAAATCCTTTAATTTCCTCAAAAATCAGCAGTGCGCCTTATGTATTAATTCTGGTTGTGTTTACTGACCTCGAACCGATTTTCTGTGGTACACGGCGCTCAAAAATCTGTCAAAATGTTTTAGTGCGACTTCGGTAAACTACGAAGACGCACCACTTGATGAATTATCGGAGCATTACGGCTGCTTTAGTCAGGAGCCTCACAGAGTCCGACAGAAGCTGAACCGCATCAGCCACCAGGAGCGAGCTGGTTTTTTCAGAGCTTATAGTTTATGCAATGAGCCCTGTGGTTTTAAGTAGGGCTGGGCGATATGGAGCAAAAAATATATCTCGATATATTTTGCTATATCTCGATATACGATATATATCTCGATATCTGTACAGGAAAAATAGCCCCCCCCAAAAAACTACTGCAAAAACAAATATGTCAAATTCCACGTGGTCTTTTTTATTGAAGTGCAAACAGGTAGGCAGTTCATGTAGGAACAAAGTGCTTCTGCCACATTTAACATTAAGAATCCATATTGGGTTTAAAAAATATCTCGATATATTTAAAATACCGAGATATCGCCCACCCCTCGTTTTAAGATTTGTGTCTGTAAAACGTAAACAAATGTGCGTAAAGCTGCTTTAAACACATAATTACTCAATGTATATTTCAGTCGTCCTTGTAGAAAATAAAAAGACAAACTTAAATGATCCACCCACATTCACATTCATAATCCACATTCACCAAGACAGAGAGGAAACGCCGGGCGAATTACACCACGATCTGTCGATGGATCGTGGACGCCTGGACTAAAGATCAGTCGCAAGTGTCGTCCTTTTGTTTCACTTAATGCGCCTTAATGCACCAAGCAACCTTAGATTTTGTTTCTTATTTTAGGTTTTTTCTTTTTTTGAGTGCAGCATGACGTATTTTCATATTTTAAGTACAAAAAGTCTTGTTCCATTGGCAGATCATTTTACTTGTCAAGTGAAATTTGCTCAAATTGTGATAAAACTTTCTTAATTCAAGTCATCTTAACTTGGCTAGATTTTGTTTTTTGCAGTGCAGAAAAGAAAGTACTTTGATTTAATATTGAAAATCATATTCTGCTGTCTAAATAAAGTGGGATCAGAGTCAGTATTGAGTATCGAACCTGCTTGTTTCTATGGATACGTCATTGCTCTGCCTGCAATGTTCCACCGTGTGACATTAAACAGCTCTACTTTACATTTAGTCAATTCCCGGTGGTTTATAAAGCTCAAAAATACCAAGAAAAACAACATTCTGACTGTGAGCGGTGTCGCCTCTTCACAGATCTAACCTGTAACTCGGTCTGGTTGAGTCTCCACATTGCAGACCAGTGTTTGGCAAACTTAAATACTCAAAGAGCCATTTGGAACGTCTTTATTTTTTACGTGTATGCTCTGTATAAAAGACTATAGTGTGTTGCGTTTATGACATCGGTGAAATGCTACAGAGAATATCTGTCCATTCATATAAACGTGTGTCTGTGTGTTCGACCTGCAGACGTTTAATCTCTGAAAAGTTTAACTTGAACCATCTCCAACACGACAGAAACACAGAACAGACTCACCATCAGCAGAACACCCCTCTGTCACAGAAACAACACTCATATTCCACTGAGTCGTGTCCTTTGAGTCCGACAGAAGCTGAACCACATCAACGAGCTTATAGTTTATGCAAATGATCCATGTGGTTTTAAGTTTTGTTTCTGTAAAACGTAAATAAACGTGCACAAAGCTGCATTAAACACATTATTACTCATCGTCTACATGAGTCCTCCTTGTAAGAAATAAAAATCCAAAGCTGTTTGCATCATTTTATCGAGTGTTGTACCGTGCGTCTCAGCCATGATAGAAAATGAATCTGGCCATGTTCTACGTTGTTTTCTTCAGAACCTTTTCTTTTCTTGGATTTATCCATCATTTACCTGTCCAGACTGGTGCCACCTAGTGCCTCAGCTCAATTTCATTTCTCTCCAGTGAACTTATTCTATGGGTCAGGAATCAAAGAGTTTACACTAGACGGTTTGCAAGAACCACGGAAGTGCAAGTTCGAGCACCAACCAATCAGCGAAGAGATATATATTCTGTGTTGTCAATGTTTCCCCAGATTGAGGATTTAAAGCCGGAACAAAGAGAATGTTTGGTGAATTTTATCAAGGGGAAAGACGTTATTGTCCTTCTTCCTACGAGATTTGGGAAAAGCTTAATATACCAGTTAGCCCCATTAGTGGCGCATTAGATACGTCATGACCAAACAGCAACAATTGGTTAAATAAAAAAAGTACCCACCTACCGTTGAGTGAACGAATCCTAATGCTGCGAGGTCAGATGGTTTCTACGAAGTGAAACCAGCTGATGAATCAGGCTATCATTTACCTACAAGGGCTCGAAAAGCTCAATAATTTGGAGCGACAAAAATAGTAAAAACGTTTTATTTGAATTTTACAGGATTACCCTTGTGTACAAATTTAGAATTACATGTAAAAACCAACAAGCTAAAATAAAAAAAAACATGTAATTAAATAAAGATAAAAGAGTTGCAGGTTGCCGACCGCTGTTCCAGACAAAGCTATAAAAAAAATAAAATAAAAAAAAAAAAGACTATAAAAGTATTTGACGGACTCTCCAATGAGAAAAGTTACACAATACACGTTTTAACTTTTGCAAGGCAATTTTCCTCCCAAATACATGGGGGAAATTCTGGAAATTTCCTACAACTTGCAGAGAAAATCATTTGAAATTCGTACAACTCATTCTGTAAAATATAAGAAGTGTAATGTAAGAAAGTCACATGATCATCACAGTGTCTTATGTAACAGTCAAACCCGAGCGTGCGGTGGAATTTATGTTCACAGATATTATCACCGTCTCATCTGAAGCAGTTTGTAATATGGCTCCAGTTACATAAGGAAGTTTTCTGTTTTACATGACGAGAGATTCTAAGAACAACAAGAACAAAGAAGCTGAGCCGCCGACTCTCATTTTCCTCGAACTGAACCGACAAGAACAATCGAAACGAAAGATAAAGCAGGATATAAACACACTGTAAAGACTTAAAGAGCCTCTGTGTGTTTGAGCAAAATGTGTAAAGAAAATGTTTAAAGAAAATGTTTAAAGAAGTGGACTGAGTGAGTTTGAGCTCCAGTCAAATGAAGCTCATCGAGCCGTGTCCAAAACTAGATCTAAACCAGAACGAAATCAGGACTAAACCAGGTCTAAACCAGGTCTAAAACAAGGTCTAAACCAGGTCTAAAACAAGGTTTAAACCAGGTCCAAAACCAGGACTAAACCAGGTCCAAAACCAGGACTAAACCAGGTCCAAAACCAGGACTAAACCAGGTCCTAAACCAGGTCCAAAACCAGGACTAAACCAGGTCCAAAACCAGGACTAAACCAGGTGCAAAACAAGGACTAAACCAGGTCCAAAACAAGGACTAAACCAGAGCAAAACCAGGAATAAACCAGGACGGAACCAAGTCCTAAACCAAGTCCTAAACCAAGTCCTAAACCAAGTCCTAAACCAAGTCCTAAACCAAGTCCTAAACCAAGTCCTAAACCAAGTCCTAAACCAAGTCCTAAACCAGGTCAAACCAGGTCAAAACCAGGTCAAAACCAGGACAAAACCAGGAATAAACCAGGATTAAACCAAGTCCAAAACCAGGTCTAAAACAAGGTCTAAACCAGAACAAAACCAGGACTAAACCAGGTGTAAGCCAGGTCCAAAACAAGGTCTAAACCAGAACAAAACCAGGAGTAAACCAGGTCCTAAACCAGGTCCTAAACCAGGTCCTAAACCAGGTCTAAACTAGAACAAAATCAGGATTAAACCAGGCCCAAAACCAAGACTAAAGCATGTCCTAGCCAGGTCCAAAACCAGGTTCAAAACCAGGGACTAATCCAGACCAAAATTGTGTGTACACAGGTTTAACATTCCAGACAAATCAATCACATCTCGATGGAGAAAAGTATTTGGACGGACCCCTCAGCAGAAAAGTTCCACGGTGCAGCTTTAATCGTGGTCACGTAATTTAGAAAAACACGCTGGGGAAGTGGGCAAAAAAAGATAAAGTAGGATATAAACACACTATAAAGACTGAAAGAGCCTCTGCCTTTTTTCCACTTGTATTTGTTAGAAAAGCTGTAGGTTTGTAAGGAAACGAATCTGCGTATCACCGTATCGAAAACGATCTGCGTCCACACACGACGTTTCTGTGTTTGCAGTCAAAGCGTTCCCTGTCCACACAGAAACGCAAAACCACCTGAATCGCTCGTTACGTGATCGGCTGGTGTCGCGTCGTCACAATGTCCCAACGTCACCTGAGCGGTAAAAATAAGGAAGCCCGAAGTTGCAGCAGCTGATTTTGAGCCGAGGGAAATGGCAAGCGTGAAAACAATGACGACGACTGAACTGACGATGAGGTTCAGTTGTTACTTGGTGTAACACTGGATTTTAAGATGAGCACGGCGGTTCAGAGTGATTACTATGAACGACACCGACTCGTTTCTGTGTCTGCAATCCTTCCCTATCTACACAGATTTGAGCATATTTGTTTATGTTTTACAGAAACGAAACTTAAAACCACATGATTCATTTGCTTAAACTGAGCGCTCAAAAAAACAGCTCGTTCCTTGTGCTGCTGATGTGGTTCAGCTTCTGTCGGACTAAAGGACACGACTCAGTGGAATATGAGTGTTGTTTCTGTGACAGAGGGGTGTTCTGCTGATGGTGAGTCTGT